AATCATTAAAGAATGGTTTTTATGTTTAAATAAATTAGTTATACTCACATAAAACTCATTTTTATTATTGTTCATATTTTTAAGGATTTTTTTAGATTTTCTAGTATATACATTCGTATCTTGATTTTTCGTCTGTATTTATACGTTTCCAAAGTGTATCTCAATACGTCACTTAAAATTACCTTTCTGATACACCTTGCGTTTCTGATACTTTGAACCTTTCTTACAACTATGTTAAAAAGTTCAAGAGAGGTTTCAGCAACAACCAGAAACTTCTGAGGAGATTTTAGCAATTTACCCTAGTTATTTAAATAGTCTCACGGTTAGGGGGTGAGCAAACTGGGAACCGAATGGAATCGACCTTGAACTGACCCTATCTAACCTATTACAAGGTAGGGTCCGGTTTCAAATTCTTGGAACCGACCCCCCACCCAGGTTGGTTCCAGGGTCTTGGGCTTTACCCTACCCGAACCAACCTGATGAACTGACCTTGGTGGAACCAGTCATGAAATCAAACTCGTCTTGAAGTAAACCCCAAAATATTTTTAAGGATGTGAAGATTTGAACCAAAGCACTCATGGATACAAAAGTCGTGATCTCTTTTAACCATCAAGTTATTTAAGTGATTTGATCATTTGTTTTGATTTTAATATTTGCATATACTAAATAATGTAAAAAGTAATATTTACAAAATTTAAATTATAATGACAAAGTTTGAACCATATATTAATATAATCTACTTATTAAATTACTCATTTTAATCGATAAAGATAATATAAATTTTAAACTATATATCATCATTATTGAAAATTAAATTTTTGAAGGACGTATTTCATTTTTTTTCTTGAAGAGGGAGAGTAAAGAAAGAATAGGTTCCACAGGTAGATGCTAAAACCGACGTTAGAACCACCAAGGCTAGAACCAACACTAGAACTTAACTGAACTTTGAACTGGCCCATGCTCAGTTGCTCACCCCTACTCCCGGTCACAAGTAAACAGATTGTGATGGCCAATTAACAGAGGGATAGTATGTGTCATATTTCCAAAACATCAGGAGTACTTTAAGTAGGATTTGAAACTTTAGGGATACTTTAAGTAATTATCAGATAGTTCAAGGGTAATTTAAGTAATTAACACAGTTATTTTTTAACCCCCCCCCCCCCCCCCCCCCCGTATAGCGGTGATCATTTTCAGCCTGGCCCAGCCCAAAAGTTGTTGATTTGCCTGGGTTTTGTGTCCAGGCCCGGCCAAAACAGTTCCAACTCAATAAAACACACAGAAGAACCAGCCAAGGAATTCTAAAAAGTACAAAGAACCTTAAGTAGCACAAAGCACGAACCCTGGAACTGGAAGTGCGCATAATAACAGATTCACAGTTGATGCAAAAACTTTTGCATATTATTTGGGCTGTTACAGATTTGATTAATCATGTATCATAGCCCGGAATGCTTGTCAAGCACAGTTCATGCAATTCCTGCAGTATCGACTCCTCATCAGTTTGCCCACCCAACACCAGGACTCTAGTCCCTCCAACTACACAAGTGCTGTGACCCCAAGAAAATTTGGGAGGTTGCCCAGGAACGTTAAGAACTTTCCACGATGGTTTCTCTTCATAAGGATCCAGAAGGAATGTCTGACAAGGAGAGTGCAGACCACTAATCGATCCGCCAAAGATAATGATCCTCCCACAAGGCATGCTTACGGCAACATGATCAAGTCTAGCTGGAGGAGCCACCGCTCTTTCGTTGCCAACATTACTACAATCCAGTTGCATCCACTGTGGCTCATCATCCTCCAAATCAATTGTGTAAGCTTCACCTGATCGTAATCGTAGATGACTGCCTCTCTTGGCAAGTCCACCAAACATAAGAATCTTAGTCCTTCCATAGACTGAAAGTGAGTGTCCCAAACTAGGGGGAGGAGCCCACAATGTAGTAATCTCCTTCCACATAGGCTTGTCTGTAGTGAAATCCAGTAGACACGTGTCACTTAGAAGTACACCTCCATCCGTGCATCCACCTGTGACAACCAACTTTGTGCCTTCCACTGTACAAGAGCTGTGCCAAGATCTGGGGAGGGGAGCATTTTCAGCTGAAACTTGTTTCCAAGTTGGCTTTTGGGCATCTAAATCAAGCACAAATACATCATTAAGTAATCCTTGTCGACCACATCCACCAAACACCACCATCAAAGACCCATTAAGGCATGAGAGAGAGTGTCCCCAACGCCCAGGTGGGGACGATGCCATACTCAACCGGAGCCACTCAGGGTTTTCTGCATCAAGATTGAGGATAAATGTATCATTCATAGGCTGCATATTAACTCCTTCCCCTCCAAAAAGAACAAGTCGATTCCCTGCAGCACAAGCACTAAAATTGCAACGTGAAGGTTCCACAGAACCCCCAACCTTGAGTATTTTCCAATGAACTGCCTCAAGTGTGGTCAGCTCCCTAGCTAGACGATCCCATCCTAATTTCTTTGTCATCGACTCCAAAGTACTTGTGACTTCTCTTCCCCATGCATTCTGACAAACCATTTTACCCACATGCTCATTCTTTGTCAGTTGTCTGAACCTTCTACAGACAGACCCTAAGGATGCAACATCTCTTGGTGTCAAGCGTGATAAGATAGCATGGGTTAAAACTTCATCAGAGAGCAGAAGAATCGCACATGTCATATAATGTTGAAGTTCCAGTGCATGCCCATTCATAGAAGACTTAAGAAATGGCTGGCCACTCTTCTGGGTGGTAGTCTTTTTGAAAAGTGGATATGGTACACGATTAAGATCCATATTTGCTTCAGAAAAGAACTGAATGCCCATTATGTGTGTTACAATGCCATCATCATCATGTATGAACTTCAGCTGTAGCTTGTTAATCAAGGGAGTACCATCCTTCCTGAAATTGAGGAGCTCACCTTGGAATTCCACTCTTTCCTCAAGACATCTATGAATTTCTGAAACAACTACAGGATCCACCATAAGATGCCGCCTTTGTGCACGTGGTATCCTATTCTGTAAGAACCGGCTGAAAAGGAAGGTTTCCATAATGAGCCAGCAAAGGTGGATTCGAATAAAATGAATATCTAACTAAAATGTTCATTAGAATCATACCAGACAAATTACTCTCCATGGTGGAAGTACAGAGGAAGTCATACCAGGTTGGATAACTCAACAAACAGATTTTCAATATTATAAATAAGTAAAATTCTATTACTTGACATTAATACATAAAAACAATCTTTATGAAGACATTGATCTCAAGTTTTCTCCAAAAGGACTTAAATTTGTACAGACAAATAATAGTTTTTGTGTCATATTATGTCGTCCCATCAGCTCAACTTCAGGCAAAACTAATAATATGGCATCACAAAATTAACTAGTACAAGTTACAAATGATCAAACTTCATTTTAACATTAATATATATCATGAAAATCTTAAAGCAAGGTATATGTCATTAAGACTAGCTTATTAAATCCAGAAAAATAAAAACGAATAAAGAAACCTTCTCACAGCTGTTGAAAATTTGAAATACCTGAAATTGCATGACAAAGACTTAGTGTGACACTATCAGTTATTGAATAAGTTCTTCAAAAAAATACCAAAAAAAAAAAAAAAGAAATACACACTTGATTTTGGTGAGGATCAAGCAAAGGAGAATTTTGATAAGTTGTCAATGAGATTATGGCAAGAGCACTACAGAGCACACTACTGCAAGTAGCATATAGGCTTTCTTCACAAACAATTGATTGTGTAGAGTGTATTGGGGAGAAGCACATAATGCACTCCAGCTTTACTCTCATTAGGGTCATCCAAGGTTTCCATTGAAGTTTAACCAGTGGACTAGGTAAAGACAGTTGATTTATTTGTCACACTTTCTTTCAATCTACCAATACAGCATTCTAGTAACACTCTGAACTATTTTGACATGAAAGCTCAGTTTGCAAGGAGTACAAATACAAATATGTAGAGTGTAAAACCTTGTATTTTGTATAACTTCCTATGTATTTGTACTGTACATATTTGTATTTGTACCCTTTCCAAACTGAGCCAAAGGGCTGATCACTAAGCAGAACATAATATGAGTTTTTACAATGTGGGATACAATAAAGGCAGCCTATATATTACATATATAAACAGGGCAAATTAAAGAACTGAGAACAAGGTTGCTGCAAACTATGATACTTGGACAATATGCAACTATCAACAAAGAAGAAGCAACTGCATTACATACATTAATCCACCTTTCCCATAGAAAGAGGGAAAAAAACCAAGCAGATAAAATATTCAAGGTATGTTTAGATGATATATCAAAACAAATTTTATTCCTCCCAAGACATATATGAGCATTGCTACTCTTGCAGTTCATATGCATACAGCCAAACTCAACTTAACTAAGCCTTGTTCCAACAATGTCAGATTAGCTACGCAAATACTGCTTCACAATTACACTCTGCTCAGTGCCATATTTATTGTTTCATTGGCCCTAAAATCATTTCTCACTACTTCAGCTCATGCCTTTTTTTATCTGCCCCCGGCTCTTCTAGACTCTTCAACATTACTGATCACTTCTTCTTTCTGGTATGGTAGATGGTCTTCTCTACATGTGATCAAACCATCTTAGTCTACATTCCCTCATTTTATCATTTATGCACGCTACTCTGTAGGATCCTTGGAATAAGTTCATTTTTATACCTATCCTTTCTAGTTTATGCATCTAATTGAATTATAAACAAGGAAATCAACCTAGACATATAGAAAGCAGGACATCTTACTCCCACTGGATATACATCTAATTGATTTACTTTCTACCCATGCTTACACAAATCAATTTGCAAACACCCATTAACAGGACATCTTACTCCCAAAAGACATTCAGAAAACCTCTCCTACCCTTCCTCACTCTTCGAGCAGTGCTCTGCTTTGTTTTGTTTTTTGAAGAAACACCCCTCTCATCCTCCCTTTCTTCAGCAACCAGAGTGGTATGGATGATTATTTAAGCTCAGTTTGGAAGGAGTACAAATACAAATATGTAGAGTGCAAATACATTCAAAATAATACAAAACACAAGGTTTTAAACTCTACATATTTGTATTTGTACTCCTTCCTTTGGAAAGAGTACAAATACAAATATGTACCGTGCAAATACATACAAGACAATACAAAATATAAGGTTTTGCACTCTACATATTTGTATTTGTACTCCTTCCAAACTGAGCCTTAATTCAGTCCAATCATACAATTACCCGGTTAGAGACACTAGTGAAAGAGAGGGGAAAAAGAATAACAAGCAGGAGTTGTGCTAATTACTTGTATTCAAACAATAATAGGGTTTCTGAGAAACCGCATGCAAGAAAAATAATTTTCTGTAGTCATTTTTTACACTTTGATGAAGCCACCCACTAATTTCTGTTCTTTTTTAATTCCTTTTCAGATAATGAATTATCTTTCAAATACTGTGAAACCTCTGCAAAAACCATTCAACTCGTATGCTCTGCCAATATTCCAATTGATGGGATTCAAACCAAAGAAAACAGCATAAAACATAGCAGAACAATTAACTGCTACAAAGACATGCATAGCCTTCTATATACCCAGAGGTAAACTTTCAGAAACTCAACCAAAATCAACAGGCACAACTTATAATCAGAAAATATTAACTTGATGTCATTAAATCTGATTTTACCTTCTGCTTCATTGCCTCTGTTTTGTTTCTTCTTTTCTGTTTATACATTTTAGTGTTTGCAATCCAATTGAACTTCAACGTACAAAGGTTTCGTCTTTAGATATTATTAAAGTATAGGTTCTACTTACACTTCTAATTCTATAAATTAAAGCTTCCTCATTATTTATTCCATGAAACGAAAATTGGCATTCAGAACCAACTAATGGAAAGAATTTACGCTTATAATTTGAAGCAGAGCTTTCACAATTTCATGAAACCCGAGACTGGTTTACTGATGAACCCAATAAAACAAACGAGGAAAACAACGGATTAAACAGAAGAAATCGTGCAATGGTGTTGAGTACGAGGAGTAATACAGAAATGCATGAAGTAAAGAAATGGTATTTGGACAAGTAAATGGGTTGGCACCAGTTTCTGCCAATGACTTCGTTGGCATAGTAGCCGGTGGAGCTCTCAAAGACGGTGTTGACGTAAATGATCGGAAAGTCGGCTTCCAGAGTGTCTGATACGACAATGGAGGGCGGAGTCCCGGGATAGAAGAATCTGTCTGGCTTCAATTGAAGCTCGCTTTGCTTTTTCTCCGCCTCAGAGCATTTTACCCCCTGCACACAGCTTTGATGCTCCTCGTCCATGGGAACTACTGAAACAAATTCAGCTCTCTCTCTCTCTCTCTAATAGAAGATGGAAATATGAAACTGCCTGAAGTTGGTATTATGGGAGTCATGTATATATAGAGAAAAAAAAGGCGAAATTTTTGTAATTTTTTTTGTAAATTTACAAAAATACGAATCATGTATGCATGGAGGAAAAATAACAGTATTTCGTTTTTGTTCGTTTTTGTCAAGAAAAGAAAAAAAAAGTGTATACTGTTTTTAGTTACGAGTTATGAATGGATCCGGATGTAGTAGGCACGTTAGATAACCAATACAAGTCAGCACGTAATAGCTAGCTGTGTGACACCTGTCACAGCTAATGTTGCATTTTAACGTTTTTGTGCCCAATGTGCCGTTTAGGAATTACTTATTATTTTATTATTTATATTAAAATAATTAAAAATAAAAAACAACAAAAAAAGGAAAACCTGTCCTAGCGTCATTCTCTCCAACCTTCTACCGTTTACGTTTCTCTTTTCAATTCCGACCTTCAATTATAAAGAGGGTTTATGTCTCATTGAATTTATCTTCTTTCTCATTTGTTGTATTTGCAATTATAATAGTTTATGTCTTTCTCAATAAACGAAAACGATAAGACAAATATATAAGGGTGTAAACGGATCGAATTCGAATCGGATCAGGCAATATTCGAATTCGAATTCAATTAGAAAATTCGATATTCAAATTCAATTCAATATCCAACAAATATTGAAAATTAATATCTGAAATCAAATCTGATTAAATATTCGAATATTTGATTCGATTCCAATTCGGTTAATTAATTATTAGATAATTAATACATATATAAAATAAATATTTTATTAATATAAAGTATATAAATATATAAATTATTTATATAACTTTATTATTATATATAAATTATATAAAATATTTTATATAACAATTAAATAATTGATCGAATTCGAATATTTATCAAATCAAATCAAGTCATGTCCGAATTCGAATCCGATTAACTATCCGATAAGAATAAGATATCTGAATTTTACCGATTAGATATTTGAATTATCTGAATTCGATTTGATTATGTCGAATATCGAATTCAAAATCGAATTTTCCAATACCGTTGACACCCCTACAAATATACTATAGGCATTAAAATTCTTCTATGCTAATTATCATAGTTTTTAAAACCGACCTAGTGACCGAACCGATCAAGGGTCCGGTTACCAGGTTGAATGGTCCGATCGTTCAAACCGAATGCTTGGGTCGTTCTAACAAAAAAATAAAAATTTTAAAAAAATTAAAAAAAATAAAAAATGGTCAAAACCGTTCGAATGGTTTGAACGGTTCAAACGATTAACCGCTCGATTCAACGGTTCACTGACCAAAATCAACGTTTTTTGGTCGGGCCTAGCATGACCTGAGCGGGTCGTGCCTTCCGCAGCCTACGGACCTAAAACCCCAAGCCCAGCACGACATGGACCATCTGGTAGGACCTGGCACGACCCGCGTGCCATCGTGTCGTGCCGTGCTAATCCAAACTCAACCCAATTTACACCTCTAAGTTGAGGACTAATGGCAAATTAGAGAATTCAGTCTAGGCTACTATGGGAGTGTTTTTTCTTGAACATTTTGTTTGAAAATTATAAATTCAAGTACATGGTTTAATAAGTATGATATAAAGTAAAAATTGGTTTTATCATTATGTCAGTTATGTTGAGATAGAGGTGTAAAACGGGTTGTGTTGAGCCAGCACGACACAACCCATGGTCCACCTTGGGTAGTGCAACCCTCCCCTAGGATAACTCAAGGGGTTAGCCGGGCACGGCCCACCAAGCCAAAGTTATTTTTGCCTATTTATTTAAAAAATTGAAATATGAATTTTGATGTATACAATTGCTTATATATACAATAATTAAATAAGTTAGTATAATAAAATTGAAAATAATTGTTTATTTTATTAATATATTAATATATAATTATAAATTTATATAATATATTATATTTTATATATAAATATTATACATATAAATAATATATATGGGTCGTGCTGGTACGAGGGCTGCGGAAGGCATGAACCGCTCAGTCATGCCATGCCGGCTCAGCCCATGGACCTAAAACCCTAAGCCCAGCACGACACAGACCATCTAGCTAGGCCTGGCACGACATGCGTGCCATCATGTCATGTTATGCCAAGCTGGTCCAAACATGGCTTGATTTACACCTCTTCGTTGAGGAAGAATGGCAAAATAGAGAATTCAGTCTAGGCATAAGAAATATTCTCTAAGATTGTAACATGTAATGCTTTATCATATATTAATTCTCTAAAATTAGAGCATTCAATAAAAATAAAAAGTTTTTAAGTAAATTACTAGTTTTTGCATAGATTGTTTATTTTACGATATAATTAGCATAGAAGAATTTTAATGCCTATGGTATATTTGTCTTATCGTCTTTGTTTGTTGAGAAAGACAAACTATTATAATTGCAAATATAGCAAAAGAGAAAGAAGATGATTTCAATGAGAGATAAACCCTCTTTTTAATTGAAAGTCGGAATTGGAAAGAGAAACGTAAACGGTACAAGGTTAGAGAGAAAGGCGCTAGGACAGGTTTTCCTTTTTTGTTGTTTTTTTATTTTTAATTATTTTGATGCAAGTAATAAAATAATAGGTAATTCCTAAATGGCACAAAAACGTTAAGATGGAAGGAGCATTAGATGGGACAGGTGTCATACAGCTATTAGGTGCTCACTTATAGTGCTTACGTAACGTGCCTACTACATCTGGACCTGTTATGAATAGTAGGGGTGGCAATTTTTCCCGTCCCCGATGAGTACTTGGGCTCCCCGACCCAACGGGGACGGGGATGGGAAATGCAATCCCTGCCCCGACCCGCCCCCGATTAATAAATGTATAATATAATATATAATATTATATATTATTCATTTATTTTTAAAGATTAAAGCTTTAAAAACACAAACACTCGATAGCCGACGGACAGAGAACTCTGAAGTCTGAAGTGAACTGTGAACCCTAGTCTTCTTCTTCCTTCTTCTTCGTCACCAATTCGCCAACCGCCATCACTGTCGCCACTTGCCCGACAGACATTGGACATCTGTCGCCATTGTAGTTCTTCTTTTGGGTACGACAACATGGAGTTGAAGAAGGAAAAGCTTGTGAGGTAATTAGGGTTTCTGCTTTCTTCTCTTTTTTAATTTCATTTTCGGTTTAATCTTGGGAACTTTCTGGTATTTTGTATAATGGGTATCAAGCTTTTTAGGTTTTATCCCGATGGAAAACAACAACTCCATGAATTCGTATGGGAAAAGGTTCCTAGCACCTTGAAAAGCCATCTCCGGTTTACAAGGTTTCAGCTCCTTTGCTGAAAAGCCATCAACTTTCTCAAGGATTCGGGTCTCCGATCCTCGTCGGGGTCGGGGATGGAGGGGGATTTCTTTCCCCAACAGGGATCGGGGATGGGGACGGGGTGTGATTTGGGGGTCGAGGTCAGGGATGGGGAATGTAATCCCTCCCCCGTTGCCATTCTTAATGAATAGCGGTCCCTGTACAGTTGTACCAACCCCAACATCATCCCATCTTATTTTTTTGGGAGAATGACGGTTCAGCCTAGGGTCAGAATTTTTAGGCCCAAAGTACAATTGGGGTGGGTGCCAGCTTGGAATTGATGCCAATTCACAGGTGTGCATTGGTGTATAGAGTGGCATTTTTGACATTTTGGATGTTCTATAGCTCTGCAATGGAAATCAGAAATCTGCATTGGGCCTGTCCGTATTTCTCTGTATTTTTTAAGGCAAAACATAATATTTCATTCAACTATGAAATTTGTATAATAGTAGCAATGCCAAACAAAAAGTACAGAAACATTGTATGAAAATAGAGAAGTGGTAACAGTATCAAGCAAGAATACAAATCTCTAAAAGAACAAAATATTAAAGCAGAAAATGAAGAAATTTCTACAAGAGAAAAAAGGTGAGGCAGAATCACCAACAGAAGAGATAAATAAGTGCATCTCCAACCACCGAAAGAGAGGGATAAATACAGTAGCAACTCATCATAAATTTAACCATCCAGAACTTTAACGAATTGGAACTAACTAGAACTTTAAAAGTCTAGAACCATAACCGCTAGAACTGTTATCACCGAAACTGGAACCAACTGGAAGTTTAACCACTCGAAAAAAGTAATTGCTAGAACTGTTATCACCGGAACTGGATCCAACTAGAACTTTAATCACCTGGAACTGTTACCGTTGGAAGTGGAATCAACTAGAACTTTAACCACTCAGAACTTAAACTGTCGGAACTGTTGTCGCCAGCAAGATTCAAAGTATCGACATAGGTCGATACGCCGGTATTAGCCTGTACCGGTACTTTTTTATGTTTTATTTATTTTTTCTCAAAACCGGTTTAAAGGGGTTGTTTAAGCCCCGACTACCCTCTGAACTGTGGTCTGACCCGATACAACCCTTGGATTTGTTATCATTGGAACTGGATCCACCCGGAACTATAAGTGCCAGTGAAGTAAACTAAGGAAAATAGTCACCCACGGTGAATCAAAGTAGCAACTAAGGCCACCATCCATCACTCCGCCTCTTGTACTAAAATCCCTGCAAAAAAAAAACAAAAGAAAAAACAAGGAAAAAGAAAAAAGGAGAAAAAGCAAAAGAGAGTGAAGAATTGGACCGAGTTAATCAAGAAGAAGAGAGAGGAGTGAGGAAAAGGGAAAAAGGAAGAAGAAAACTGAGAAGAAAATGAGAGAGTGGGAAGAAAATGGACGACTGAAATGGAAAGAAGAGAAGAACCCGAGATAACCCCAAGATGGAAACTCTCCAGAGAAGAGAGAGGGAACCTATGGAAACCCAAAAAAGAACTATAAGTGATGGGGGAGAGAGACGGAGACTCTTCGAGTGCCTGTCAAATCAATCTGACACAGGGCTCTAGTTACGTACTCTACTATATAACATCGTCCCATATTAATGATACAACACATGAGTAAGGAAGATAATCACATCTT